CATAGTTATTTTAAATTAGATTTTAAGTTACGTTTTAAGTTACATTTTAAGTTACATTTTAAGTTACATTTTAAGTAAGTTACATTTTAAGTTACATTTTAAGTTACATATCTTAATAAGGCATTTTAAAAGGAGGACCGGTAAATAAGGCAAATTCTGCCTCGCGATGGAACCTAAATTAATCTTAAAAAAGGCTTTCTTACGACCAAAGAAAGACGAAAATAATTGTCAATTATTTGAAAAGTGATGGGAAAGCTTTGGGAATAGCACATTTATAATATAAAATATAATATTATATATATATATATATATATATATATATATATAAAATATTAAGCTTTAATGTTGGTGCACATATAGCGCATTATAATACAGGTGTCAGGTAAATCAGCGAATGCGGATTTACGAAAAATATTATCGCTTTCATGCTATTGTCTATACATTCATATTGCAGTTAATATTTTTTGTAAATCCACATCCGCTGATGTTACACCTATGTTATATATGATGCGCACCTACATGTGCACATACAAATTTGACAATTTATGTCTTTGTACTTTTCAGATTATTTAGGATTTTTTAAAATTATTGTTGAAAAATTGTTAGTTTCTATATGTATAAACCAACATTAAAATTTAACAGTTTATTATATTATAATTTAAAAAATATATCATATTACATTATATTATATTATATGTATTATATTATATTATATTATATTATATTATATATTGTATTATAAATTATATTACATTATATTATATTATAAATGCGCTATTTCCAAAGCTTTCCCATCACTTCTTGGATAAATGATGATTATTTTTGTTTTTCTTTGGCCGTAAAAAAGACTTTTTTAAGATTAGTTTAGGTTCCATTACGAGGCAGAATTTGACTTTATTTACCGGTCCTCCTTTGCATTTTCTAAAATTTTTATGTTACGAAGATTTAACATATTTATGTGTTAATTTAATATATTGTTATTGCGTTAATTGAACCTAAATGTTAAATTATTAAATAACTGAGCAAAGATGTTAAAATAACACATTTTGCATCCATTTTTAATTTTACACAATAAAGTTATTAATGACAAGATTTATCTGTTCAAATTACAGCAAAAATGTTATTTTTTTATTTTATAATATAAGTGAGGATAATAAAATCTAAAATCAACTTTTTTTACATTACAACTATGGTAATTTTACACAAAATTTATTTTAAATTACTTAAAGTTTTGTATTTATTTTGTGTTAAAATATTAATATAATATTTCAGTCTTTATTTAACATCTATATTATGTTAAATTAACACAAAAATTTCTGTAAATCGTTTGGGACATGCAGTATCTGTTAATTTTAACATAAATTTTCAACTGTGTATGTATATGTATTTATATATAATTAGATCTCCACTAAAATTAAAACCCACATAAACATTTTTTTATTACGTGTATTGAATTATAAATTTAAAATATATAATAAATATTTTCTAATTAAATTGAATGTAATATATTAAATTAATATATGTGTATATTATCATTTATGTAATATTTGAAATAATAATTTTATAATTTGTTGTTAGATAATGGTCTATAATTAAAAATTTATTCAAATTAAAATAAGAATTTCAAAAAAAATGTTTGTATATTATAATTTTTTTTGTTTTTAATGTTTTAATTTAATTTGATTTAATTAATTTATTTAGGAAAAATTGCTTTTTTCTCTATACATAAAAGACGTCCTGTAATTTAAGAAAAAATTCAAAACATTTCTCAGACTTATTAAGTTTTGAGAATAAAAGTTTGATTGATATTTCGATGCCGATGTCGATACCGATCCGAACCTTTATTTCTCCAGGTAGCCGGAAGAACTTTTTCAAGCGATTAGGTCACGAACTTTGACAAACAGGGGATGACAGATAATTCTTCTCCCTTCTCTCTTATCGGCAGGCCACATTTTTATCGTCGATAAATTTTGTCTCGTGCAAAACCGCAAACGCGAGAGGATATTTTTATCCCGCCGTGTTACTGTCGTCATCTCGTGGAATCCGAAAACAGCAAGGTCTACTATCACACTTCGGTTTATCATAGAAACCCCGAAGTGTTTATCCCGTGAATTTAGCTCAACCTCTAGCGAGCGCTTTCTCGCTGAGGATAAACGCGAGAGAAGATCATTCTCGTGTTGATAAGGTGAGTTCTAGCTCGTAAGGTACATCCAAATATTGAGGATTATCATTAGAAGAGAACTTTGTTTTTGGAAAAATTTAAGTTAAGCGGCAGTCTCGACACCGTATTTTACAATATCTTCTTTTAAAAATTGACCTTTTGTTTGAAAAGATGATCAGCGACCATTTAATTTATCCTAATTTATTCTAATAAATTATCCAAATAATTTATTTTAATTTAATATAAATCTAATATAATTTTGTATCTCTCTCACAACTTATATCTATAATATTTTAACATTTAGACAAATTTTAAATTAAAAATTTAGAGATAAAAGTAATTGAAAATATTACAATCTATTTTTCCCTTATAAGAAATATAAAATATGTTCGATGAATTTTACTATACACATAGTAAAATTTATTATGTACATATTTTTATTGTGGTAAATATTAATCAGAGAAATTCTTATAAAATTTTCCAATATCGTATTGTTCTACATTAACATGATTTTCAGGGTAAATTCTAAGAGAAAATTCTCTCTGTGTGGATATAATGATAATGTTAAAATGGTTAAATATTATTAAAGTTAAGTAAGAAAAAATAAGTAATACATTATATATATATATATATATATATATATATATATATTCTACAAAAGACGGATTAAATATTGCTAATATTACTGAAATTAAACAAGAAATAAATAATGAGGATTTCTTTTTTCATTTTGTATTTAAATATAATTTCAAAATATAGTACAGGAAGTTAATATGTTTTCTATTCATAAAAAATTTCATTTTAATTAAATCTAATTTAATTTGATTTTTTGTCGTCTTATCCAAAACTAAAATCCATTTTACTTGCATATGGTGATAATTAACATGATGCAATAAACATGTTTATAGAGAAAAATCTAAACTTTACGAAAAATTCTAATTTTATTTATTAATTAATTCAATTTTTCAATTTTAATAAGTAATGAGCAAGATTGTAGTGTGTCTGCAAAACAAATCATTATTTTAAATCATCTCAGATATTAAGAAAAGTCGATAGATTTTAAAATCATCGTCTTATCCCTATTTTCCGTTATACTTCTAAGATATATGTAAGGTAACAAAAGGTTATATAAGTTTTGTTTTCTTTTCAAAGAAAAGATAACAAAAGGTTATATAGGTATTTGTTCTCTTTTCAAAGAATTTTACTTCTACCAAAATAATATATTAAATCTTCTTTGTTTGAATATTTCTCTCACAGAATTGCGTTGTTTAAGAAACACTTCCAGGTTCAAAAAATATTATTGTTTCCGAGAAAGAAAAAATTTCTTTTCAAGAAAAACTTCTTTTGACAAATGTTTACGTTACTTATATATAGATATATGTTTTCATAAAAAGAAATTAAATAATCTTAAAATTTAATATGTATTAGGGTTAAAGTGCCGATTATGAGATACTATTTACATTTTCTTAATTATTTTCAAAATATATGCAATTAGGAAAGTATCTATATACTGTTTTAATCGTCATTTTATGTAGTTTTAATGTAAGTCAGTTTTTGTATCAAAACCAAAAGGTCTCCTAATATGAGATACCACATTTTATTAGATAAACTTAATTTCATTTTTATTAACACCAAAAATAGAAGACATATAGATAAAAATAAATGGTTTTATTATTACCTGTCTTAATTTCAAACCTTTTACAGTATTATATCTTCAGAACCAACAATAAAATTAAAAAATATAGCTTTAATTATATTATTTATTAGACTTATTTTCTAAACTCTTATATTATATTTGATATATATAAATTTATGTATTATTTTATTAACAATGTTATTGTTCTCACAGGGAATTGAACGATATTTATTGAACGGTATACATGTATATATGTATATATATATATATACATATATAATTGTAAGGGCAACCTTCTAATGTTATTCCACACAGCAGGTAAAGCAACAAATATTCCATTCGTCCAACATATTAATGCCTGATTTAAGGAAGAATATCTTTCTATCTTAAAATTTGTAAAAAACGGATATTACTATTAAAATTCTATATATTTTTTCTGTTTTCAAGGCGCACATATTAAATGGAAATAGTGTTTTCTTAGGTTCTGAATTTTCTATTGTGTGCTTTGGAGACCCGTCATCTGTTTTCTGCGCATGAAGTTCTGACGCAACAAGTTCTTGTAGAAAGAGGTGCTCAGGCAGCCGACGTATTTAGACGTGATTCGTCAAAAAATTTTTTTTGTTATCCCCGGTCCGTTGTATATACGAACTATTAGGCCAGATCTAGAACAGGTGTAGTAAGCTCTAAGCTTTAAAAAATTCACCAATCACAGTCAAGAATGAGGGGAATATTTGACTGTGATTGATCAATTTCTTAAGGCTTAGAACTTACTACATCTATTGTAGACCCGGCCTTGAGCTCAAAACTATCAAGGCATTAGCCTGAAGGATCAATAAATGGTGTATGAGTTAATAAAAGCTCAAACAGCCAAATAAGAAGAAGAAGAAGAAGTTCTTGTAGAACCTTGTAGTGGGAAAGAAACCTTAGAACACAATATTCCTATTTATCTTCTGTGCGCACGTCTTGTTTTTAAGCAACTGTTATCGCTATGCAGTTGTTAATATATCTATCTATTTTAAATAAGAAATTTAAAATATTCCATTTTTTTCAGCGCGTTTTGTTTTACCGAACGCGCATAGAGGACGAATAGGAATGTATATCTTTCTCTCTCATGCAGATCTCAGGGACATTTTTGTTTTCCAAAAAGTAATGCTTGTTCCCTTTCATCTACAAAAGGAGCAGCCAGGGTGTAGAAAACATTTCTGTAGTGTCGACATAACTTGTACACGTGCTCTCTGAAAACACGTGTATACGAGCAGTATCTTAGTGGATTTTGTGTGCTTCAAAATATCAAGAATTAATTATACAAATAATAAATTGCAATCACATTTTTATATATATTATTTTTGTGTGATTTTTTATATTCATAATGACAACAACTATAATGAACTTACCAGAGGAAATGATAACCAACATTCTCAGCTATAACGTTATTCTTAAATCCTTTCCTAAAGAGATAATCTAGTGAATACTTAAAAATAGAACACCTTTTTTATTACATGTTTTTCTTAAAAATCTCTCAATCTCATTAATTTATTGCTGTATTAAATTATTTGGTGTAGGTTTTAAAAAATAAATTTGGAAATGAAATCATTGTATTTATAATATATCAGAGTGTAGCTAGGAGACTTACTTACGTTCCGATCTACTACATGTGCCCTTTCATGTCTGTATATTTTGGAAATCTAAATAGTAAGTATAGATATATTAGATTCAGCATTTTAATATTTCTATTCTCATTATGCACACATATAAATATATATTTTATTATAAAAATTATATAATGATAAAGATAATAATATTTTTGTTGGTTACAACAGCATCACAAATGATGTACTAAATGAACGATATTTTTATATAGAATGCAAGAAATTCCCCAAATGGCTTGTCGACATTACATCGTATTACAAGTGTTTGGTTTCTAAATCAGATCCATCAATCTACCCAATAGAGGGTACCAAAAAGGTTAGTAATTACTCATATATAATATCTATTAATTTAAGTTATTAATATTTTTGAGAATTTGCGAAGAATCAATGAATTACGCTTTATGTATAGGCAGAGAGAATTGTATCTCTTATTTTTTAAATTTGTTATTAGTGCTCTATTCACACTTACAATTAAAGAGATGCTGACCATGACTGTTTTACCGACTTTCAGTTCAAGGGCTTTTTTATTGACTGTACAAATTAAAAAAATCCTTCTCCATAATTAAAATACTGATAATAATAAAGCGGAGAGCGCTAAAATTTCGTATAAAAAACAATAAAGTTAAAGAATTACAGTTTTTTTATCGACCTCGTGCATCAGCTCATAACAATACTTATTTAATACAAAAGTTCTGCAATTTATTTGCGCACAAAATATGGCGCTCCCAATAGAGATGACATGAGAGAATAATACAAAAGTAATAAAAATGAAATAAAATGCCTGCATCAAAAGATTCGTATTTGAATTATTTATGTATGTATATTTGCGTGCGGAATCGAAGTTGAGGCATAAAACAGCAAAAATTAGTTGCCGGACAGCGCTTCCCATTCATTATTATCAGTATTTTTATTGTGGAAGATTTTTTAATTTGTTTATTTAATAAAAAGTGAACCAAACCTAACTTAAAGTCGGAAAAACAGAACAACGGCAGCATTCCTTTAAAATTAACTCAAGTTCAATCTTTCTGTTTTAGATGTTTTCCTGGGTAAGAGCGTTAAATAGATAGTTTATGCAGGAACTTGAAATATTTTCTAGTGGATTAGTCACAGTAAATTGGAATATGCTGTATAATTTTAGTAAATTACATGTAAGTCCCATATTTATATATGATAAAGTTGTAATAAAGAACCAATTTGTGATTTTTTTCAGATAATAATTATGCACGAATTATATATTTTTTTAATTTAATGCTGGTCGTTAACTGAGAAATACTTGAGTAAAATTACATGATCATGTTAAGTGGTTTTTGCCCCAAAGTAATCATGCAATATTGATATCCATATTGAATATATGTAATTTTATATAAAATAATATATATTTTCAGATTAAAGATTTTTAATAAAACATGAGAGGACACATACAAAACGTTGGTAAGGTAAAAATCCTACATAATCCTATAAAAAGTTATAATTAAAGTAGATAACTACTTACAAAATAAAATTCATTTAAAATGAAAATATAAAAATTACAAATGCTTTTCGTATAACAATAGGAATTTTAACATATTTTAGATAATACTTGGCCTTGGATTATTACTATTAATTTTAAATTTTATACGAACGGAATAGATTTCTTGCTTTTTATTGATATTTTACATTCATTTTAAATTAATAAGTATTTTAATTTAAAAAATTTTTGGAATAAAATTCAGGGATAATTAAGAATTTTTTCCAGTTTGATCAAGTGTATTTTCCATGTAAAAGTATATGGATTTGTTCAATGTAATTTAACATGTTACAAGAGTTTATTAAGTCATTTATTGATAAAAAATCATTTAATGTAAAAAGATTGTACTGCTTTCAGCTCATTTCACATCAAATATTAGAGCAGATAAATGAAGACGTAAAATATGCAGTTGGTATAATTATAACATATGATCATTTTAATGATTAATCTACAGATAGTTCGGCCAAAATAATCAAATGTAATCGACATGTAAATACACATGATACATTCTATACGTTTGTCTAGTTAATTACTATGTCCTATTTTTCTACGCAATTGTTTTCGCGTATCTGTTTAATTGTAACAGTAACAAGTAAGAAACATATTAAATAGTTCTTGCCGAAAATAATAAAATGTATGTCACTTTGGATAAGTTTTTAATTATTGGACACGCCTTTATAAAAAATTATATGTGTTAATTCTACGAGAAATCTCTCTTTTTGTATAATATAAAACATTTTATTTTATTTTTAACTTCTTCATTCCCTTTTTGATTTAGGTTTTAATTTAATTTATATTAGTCCTATATAAAATTAATGGCATAGAGGTACATTGTAAGATATTTATAAATATATTTAACGTTTATTGCATGTATTCTATTTTAAAGCTTATTTCGAATATTATATTAATATACTAAATATTATATATTATAAAGTAAATATAACTGGAAACATTAAATTAAAAATAGAAAATGCAACTGCATATAAATATTACAATATTTATCAATATTTATAAAAGTATGTAACTTTTATTGCATATATTCTATTCTAAAGCTTTCTTCAAATATTACATTAATAAACTAGATATTATATATTATAAAGCAAATATAACATGGAAACATTAAATTTAAAAAAATGCAACTGCATAAATATTACAATTAGTATTACATTAAACCACCTACTAAATAACATTTTACTTACACTTATGAGTGTTGAAGATCAAATAATGAAGACAAGTCTGTTAACAAAATTTATATTTCTAAAGTCTAATTTATTTATTACATTATTCTCATTTTTACAATTAATCAGCAATATTCTAGTGAGTTTAAAAGTAGATAATTACGCGCGTCATCGTAAAAATTAAAGAAAAAAGCAGAACATAAAATCGACATCATAAGCATCTTCCCATTATTCAAAGGACATAAATTAACAAAAGGTTGTTAATGCATTTGTCTATTTTTTATAAAAACACGTCTTTGAAACTCGCGGGTCTCATGCGTAGAAATGCATTACTTGAGTGATGCTTCTAGCTCCAAAAATATTTTAATTTGTTGCCGATAAAGAAACAATTTTTATAAAAAATTTTTAATTTTGACAACATTTATCTTACAAAGTTATATGTATACTGTTCAAAATATTTAAAAATTTCTACGGCCTTTAAAATATTTCGCGCAAGCTATAAAAATAATAACGAAAACGTTTTTTTGTTATTTGATATATTTTTTTTCGTTTTGTTATTTGATATATTTTTTTTCGTTTTTACTATAGTCAACTACTTTGTTATAAAATATGTACTTGCGAAATTATAAAAACATTTACGGATCCTATTGTATACAGCAACAACATCAGCATTAATGTCAGGATTTCAATAATTGGCTACACCGGCTACACTAATTCAGACCCAGTCAGAAATGATCGATCGAAAAGACGTCGAATCGATATCGATTCGACATCGATTCAACGTCGATTGAACTATATCATTTCTGGCTGGGGAGATTATCTTTTTCCTTCCAATGTCGAGCAAAAAAGACAACCTCTGATCTAGCGTAGCCAGTAGTGTAGCCAAAACAAACAGACCTAAAATATTTTTGCATTTTAGATTCTAATCATAGTGGACCTTACTGATATTCTGTAATACTCTATTGTTTTCCATTTCAAAGGCGCACAGATAGAATGGAAATTCTTGTCCATTCTGAATTTCGTTTTCTGCGCATGACGACTGGTCCTTCTAGGATTTTATGGTGGGGAGGAACACAAGACTTTCATCTACAAAAGGGGCAGCCAGGGTGTAGAAAACATTTCTGTAGTGTCGACATAACTGTACACTCTCTGAAAATAGCTAGAATAGAAATCCTTGTCTATTCTGAATTTCGTTTTTTGTGCATAACGCGACAAGTTCTCGTAGGATCTTGTAATGGGGAAGAACCTGAGAGCATATAGATATGGAGGGAAAATAGCAGTATTCTGGATATCGATTCTGTAACTTTTTCTAAAGTAAAAATATGAAAAGTGAAAAATTTTCGCAAATCGCACATCGATTTTATTTTAAAACCAATACGTGATTGGTGGAAATTTTTACTTTTCACGTTTTTACTTTAGAAAAAGTTATAGAATCGATACCCTGCCATCTATGCGAGAAAGATTCTTATATTTATCGTCTATGCGCATGTCTTGTTTCCAAGCAACTGTTATTGCTATGCAGTTGTTACTATACCTATTTATTTTAAATAAGAAATTTGAAGCTGTCATTCCATTTTTTTCAGCGCCTGTTTTGTTTTAGCATATTTTATAGTACCATATTTTAAATTACCGTTTATACGTCTTTTATGCGCAGATGCATAGAAGACGAATAAGAATATATATCTTTCTCTCTTATACAGATCTTAGGGACATTTTTGTTTTCCGAAGAGTAATGCCATTCCCCTTCCATTTCTATATGCACTAAGGAAAGAACACTAGACTTTTAGGCAAATATTTTACGAAAAAACCAGAGTATAAGAAACAGTTCTATAAAACCTGGGTACTTTATTACGGTTCTTTGGGTGAGTTTGCTCACGAGGTGAAAATCACAAAAGTGAGAAATTCACTAGGTTGTCTACGCTTCTATTGGTCAAAATCTAGTGAATCTCTCACTTTTGTGATTTTCATCTCGTGAGCAAACTCACCCAAATAACCATAATAGGTACCCTGTACACGTGTTCTTTGAAACTAGCAAGCACATGTATGCGAGAAGTACCTTAGTAGATTTTGTGTGCTTCGAAATATCAAGAATTAATTACGCGAATAATAAATTGCAATCACATTTTCATATATATTATCTTCTTGCAATTTGTTACGTTCATAATGGCAACAATAATGGACTTACCAATTGAAGTGATAGACATTATTCTCAGCTATAACGTTATCACTGTTGAAGATGTCATTAACTTTAGATGTGTGTGCCAGCTATTTCAATATGCAGCTATCCATGGAAAGCTTGTGGAAAGAAAGTGTATTAAAAGGTAATTATTTTTGTAAGTTTGTTTCTAATTTTGTTTCAATAATGTGTCACAATGTATATCACTTTGGTATATATGGTAATAAAAGTGTACCACGTGGAGGTTACCCAATTGGATTTACACATCTTTTCTTATTTGTAAATTCGGCTAAGAAACTTTTGCGCGGTTATAAGCAACGGAAAACATTTTTTTAATACAAAAGAATTATTTTTAATTTAAAAAAATACAAAAAAATTAAAAATTAAAAAATACAAATAGAAAAGAAGTGCAAATCCGAATGGGCAACCTTTACGTGGATGCGAATGCCAGCGGTACTGTAACTTTGAAGTCTTAATAACTCTTTTATAAGTCTTATAAAAAAAGTTTTTTATAACTCTGTTTCAATAATGTTTCAACAATGTATATCACTTTGGTATATAATAAATATATTATAAAAATAAGATAAACAAAAAGTATAAAAAATATAATAATTATAATAAAGAATATATAATAAAACAAAAATTTAATTACATTTATATAAAATAAGTACACGGTAAAAAACATTTTGTATTTCTGTTGAAATTATCTTGTGTAGAAATTTTTGTGTTAAAATTTTAACATACTCTTATGTTAATATAACATATTGTCGTTATGTTATTTTGACATTTGTCTGTTGAGTTAATATTCACTATTTTTAAGTGTTAAAACAACACAATTAAATAAAAATGTACGAATTTTTGCTTATATTATATTTTTTTGTGTTATTTTTTCACATATTACGTGTGTTATTTAATTACATAATTGTTTTCTGTTAAATTAACATTAAAATTAGAGTGGATAAATTGGGACATGTGAAATGTGTTAAATTTAACACAATTTTTTTTATTGTGTAAAAAAGAGATGAAACAAAGTGGAAAGTAGCGTGCTACGAGCAAACATACAAATTAATTTTCTAAATTCCTTAATTTATTCTTTTTCAATATTTAATTAAATTTAGTAGAATTTATTTTGTTTAATAATTAAAAACGTAAGCACAAGTACGTCCTATATGTACGTACGACGAACGTACATGCTGGACATAGTGTACGTCCATCGGATGTCCGTTTGCAACTCCATTGTACATCCATACGGCGTCTTTTACTGGATGTAAATGGATATACTATGGATCTAAAATGGATGAACTATGGATCTAATAAACAAATTTTGAATCTTAAATGAATGAATTATGGATCAAATAGACGAATTTTGGATCTTTTACGAATAAATTTTAAATCTTTAATGGACATATTTTGATTCTTTATTATACATGTGTATATCGTAGAAAATGACATTTAAAATTCATAAAAAAGAAATTTATAAGCAATAATAAATTTGAAATACAAATTAATTTATTTTTATACGGTTCATAAAATATTGCAGAATATTTCTTATTTTTGCATTTTATTTATCCGAATATTTATTTGTTCAATTTCTTTAATTAATTCAATATCTAAATTCCTTGTGTTGGGATTGTATCAGAAAAGTTAAACTGATGAAAATAATTATAACATATTTAACTGTAATAGCTTTTTGCATGCGCTTTATAATTCTCTTAACTAAATTTAATAGCGAGATGGACAGCGCATAGCGGCAAATGAAGGAACTATTACAAGATAATATTGCATAGTATATTTTGCAATGTCTCTAATGAAATATTAAATTTATAATATTTGCACAATGTTGCTTCAATATTTATAATGACACAATAAAATGAAATATTTATGCAATATTTTAGCAATATTTCGTGCTGTAAGAGAATTTGGTGGACATCCTGTGGACGTTCAAATATTAGTCACTGATAGATGTCCGAAATCGGATATACAATGGACGTTTATTTCATGTTCATGGACGTACATACGTAAAATGGATATAAAGTGAACGTCCATAAGACGTCTTGTGTTATCTGGGGTACTTTTGAATATAATCCTCTCTTTTATGTTTTAAATTTACAGTTCAACGCCTTTGTTTCTATAGTTCATTGTTCTATGCATATTTATTTTATTATTGAGATTAATAGAATATATATATGTACATGCGGCTGAAGCCGTGGACAATGATTTTGAACGCAGCTCAGCCGTAGATAATGGTTTTGAATGCGGCTTATTCACTCACTGCGTCGCCGCTAGATGGCGGCGTAAAAAACGGCCGCTTTCCGCACAGAAAACACGCACACAAAGTGCCACTTTGCCTGCACGTGTAATACAAAATATAATAATATGTTTTATATAAAAGTTTCATGTTTTTTTTAATTTTCTTTAAAACAGTTTAATCAATTTCTTCTGAATGGGTTTCTCAATGCTCTACAACATATTCCACAGCTCATTAAAATCGGTGAAAGACACAATCTGTTATTTTATTGTAAGTGACATAAACAACTAATTGTAAGACATCCAAAACGCTTATCAATTCCCATCTATCGCTTTCAACCTGTTCATTCGCTTAGATTTTTTAATCAATAACTTAATAATCGTTGTGAATTTTCTGTTGAGTTTATTGTGCTTTACCTGCTCGTGTGCGTTGGTACAAGTCTTCCGAGGCACACTTTATATGTATCTTATTTACTCAAAATTAAAGACAGAATACGAACAGAAATGATATTTTCTATTTCTTTTTTACAAAAGGGAGTAAAATTATAAAATATACTGCATAAAAAATTCAACTTTAGATGTAATATATCCTTGCCAAAATTTTTTAAAAAGCAAAAATATTATTTATAAAGACACTTTACACAAATACACACACAATAATGTTTAAATATGCATACATAGCCAGACAAAATTAAAGATTGAAAATAAAATTTTAAAATATATTTAAAATATATTTATCTATCTGCCCTAAAATACATATAAAATCAAAGCTGCTAAGCCAAGTATAAATTGTGTATTAATTTGTGCAGATTATTGATCTGATATAAATTTAATTAAAATTAGACATAATATTCGATATATTTTGCATTAAAATAAAAAGTAACACTTTATCTCATATCGTGAATATTGTATATTTCAAAAATTAAACAATTTGAAAAATTTCAAACGCAACAATATTTCTTAGCATAGTTAAAAATATTTATTCAGGTATATTCTATTTGTATTTTCAGATGGCCTACTGCAAGAAAAGAATATAATCTTGAAAAACAGCAGAAAGAAAGTACAAACTTTCAAAAAAAAGGCATATATTATATGAATCGATTCAAAATTACTTGTCTCGAGTATTGTTTGAAGTATTATATGATATTAAATCAACTAAAATGAGTTACCATATTTTAAATAATAGATTATTAATAAGGTTCAATAATAAGTTGAATGAACGTTTGGAGTGGTATTCTCAGCAAACATCTGTTACGTCTGAAAAACGTATGGAATTTTCATTCTACGTCGACGAAATCAGATATTTATTAACACAATTTCCACGGTAGAGTTTTTATATATCTATATTATACTGCTATTATTAACTTTAACATATTAATGTACTTATTGGTTATAATTAATATATTAATACATAAAGTTGTTTTAGGGGACTTAATTGCTATCTATTAGTAAATTATTGTGAAATAAATAAGTCTCACTATATGAAGCTACGTTTGATTAAAAATGAGTTGACTAAACTTATGTTAAAACCTGAAAAAGAACAGTTTTTGGAAAAAACTGTTATTCTTTTGGCACAATATGTTCAAATGCCAAAATATGTATATTATTCGAGCATAAGTGCATCATTGGATAGAATCGCAGACGAGGTACTGAATTGTCTCAAAAAGAAGCATCCTTACCATTCGATATTGTCGACGTCTGATGAATTTTTTTCCTATTGGAAATACCACAATATCGATGATAATCATTGGAATGAAGTAGAAAGTACGCAGATTATGGATATACTCCAGGAATATATATTTGGCAAATTAAACTTTCGACCACGGTTATGCGGGTACAATGACTTCGATTATTTGTGTATAGATTATGTAAGTTACCACGAATTATAATATATTATACTTATATCAATTATGTTATGTACATATACAGAGTATCCCATTTTAAGGTATTCACAAAGTTATCTCTTTGGGAAAGCATTTAAAAAAAAAATTGTTTCAAACAAAAGTTGTTTGGTTCAATTCCATACATAAATGTATTCAGGTAAGATTATCAAAAACTAAATATTTTACAAGATATTTTAGATTTTATGTCGAAATGTTATCCAATTCAAACCTTAATAACGAAAAAAGTACTTATGAGAAAAATATTTTATTATAAACGTTTTGGAAAGCTCTCGAAAAAAGCTACAAAGATATATGTAATAAAAAGTAAATACTTCCATTTAAAAATTGAAGATGACCTTCACGTGACCTTCAAAAGATAATCCAAGGTCAAACTAAAGGCGCCATTTTTTATCTCCCTTCTAATCAAACAACTTTTGTTTGAAACATTTTTTTCTTAAATTCTTTCCTAATCTCATTAATTTATACTGTATTGAAATATTTGGCGTAGGTTTTAGAAAATAAATATGGAAGTGATATCATTGTATATATGATATATCAGTTCGTGGCTAAGAGACTTGGTCTACGTTGCGATGTCCAATATCGTGATATGTCCGATGTTGATATACCCAATCTTTTCTGTATATTTTGGAAATCAAAATAGTAAGTATAGATATATTAGATTCGTCATTTTTTTTTAGCATAATATTATATTTCGGCGATTTTTCTATTTCCATTATGCACACATATACATATAAATTTTATTATAAAAATTGTGTAATGATAAAAATAAAAATATTTTTGTTGGTTACAACAGCATCACGAATGATATAGTTAATGAACGATGTTTTTACATACTACGCAAGGAATACCCCAATTGTCTTGTCGACATTTCATCGTATTCCAAGTGTTTGGTTTCTAGACCACCAATCTACACACTAAAGAGTACCAAAAGGGTTGGTAATTATTCATATATAATTTTTATTAATTTTGCGTTATTAATATTCTTGAAAATTTCCGAAGAATCAATGAATTATGCTTTATGTATAAACAGAGAAATTATTATATTATATTATATCTTTGTTCAAGTTTAATCTTTTTTTTAGATATTCTTATTAATAAGAATGTTAAATAGGCAGTTAATAAAGGGACTTGTAATATATGATATAGGTATATTAGTCAGAGTAAAGTGGGATATGCTGCTTAATTATACGTCATTACATGTAAGTTCTATATTTATATATGATAAAAATGTAAAAAAGAACCAATTTGTGGTTTTTTCAGATAATAATTATGCACAAATTATATTTTTTATAATCCAATTGTAGCCGTTAACTGAGAAATACTTGTGCGAAATTACATGATCATGTTAAGTATTTTATTGACATTCATATTGAATATATGTTATTTTATATAAATAATATATTTTCAGCGTGAAGACTCGTATAACTAGATACGAGATTATTACAGAATGTTGGTTACATAAAAATCTTACATAATTCTATAAAAGTTATAATTAAAATGAATAACTACTTACAAAGTGAAGTTCTATTAAAATAAAAATATAAAAATTACAAGTTACAAAACACTCGTTGTGCAACAACAGTAATTTTACCATATTTTAAAATACCATATTTTAAATTACCATAGTTTAAATTACCATATTTTAAATTACCAATTAATAAGTATTTTTAAATTAATAAGTATTTTTACTTAAAAAATTTTTGAAATAATATTGAGTGATAATTAAATATTTATTCCAGTTCTGATCAAGTATTTTCCATGTAAAAGTACATAGATTTGTTCAGTGTAATTTAATTTATAAAAATTTATTTAATTATTTATCGACAAAAAATCAATTAATGTAAAAAGGTTTTACTGTTTTCTGCTCATTCCACATCAAATATGAGAGCAGATAAATAAAGACGTACAATATGCTGTTAAAATAATCATAACATATGATCATTTTAATGATTAATCTACAGTTAGTTCGGCCAAAATAATAATCAAATGTAATCGATATGTAAATACGTATGTTACATTCTATATGTTTATATAGTTAATTACTATTTCCTATTTTTCTACGCAATGTGAATTGTTTTCGGATATCTGTTGTAATTGTAACATTAACAAGTAACAAATATATTGTATAGTTCTTACCGATAATAATAAAATGTGTGTCACTTTGTATAAGTTTTGAATTTTTTGTACATGTATTTATAGAAAATAATGTGTGTTAATTATATGAAATTTCCCTCTTTGTGTATCATATAAAACAGCATTTTATTTTGTTTTTATCTTTCCCTTTTTATTTACGTTTTAATTGAATTTATATTAGTTCTACATAAAATTAATGGTTTACATTGTGAAATATTTATAAATATATGTAACTTTTATTGCATGTATTATATTTTAAAGCTTATTTTGATTATTACATAATAAACTTAAATTATATATTATAAAGTAAATATAACATGTAACTAGTAGAGCCAGTGTAGTCAAAAACAAACAGACCTAAAATATCTTTGCATTTTATAGAATCTAATCATAGTGCATCTTTACTATTAATTATTCTGTAAATATAATAAAACAAAAAATTAGTTATATTTATATAAAAATAGGTAAAAGAAAGATTGGATAAAGTGGAAAGTAGGGAGCCACCAGTAAATCTACAAATTAATGTTCTCAATTGCTCAATTTATTTTTTAAAAATATTTTAATTAAATTTAGTAGAATTTATTTTGTTTATAGTGTAGGCGATTATATATGTTTCATATTATTTTGGGCACGTGTCCTAACCGTGATGCGTGAGATCACTTTGCGCATGATCATCGAATGATTCCGTTTCGCGACAGCATGGAAATCAAGCGAGAGAGTCGTATTAGATCCATCGACCGAGACACATGTGTTTATATTTTTGAGTTGACCTACCTGCCTCGGGTTAATATCGAGTATTGTAAGCACTTATATAAACTGTATCCATATATCAAATACATCCTGACGAGCTCTTTATTTTGTTCTATTTTATTCTAATTTAAATTATTCATGTTCTAAAAACTCCCACAATAGTAATTAAAAATGTGCTTTTGAAAATAGTCCTCTTTTTATGTTTTAAATTTACATTTCAACGCCTCAGTTTTTATAATTCATTGTTCTATGCATATTTATTTTATTATTAAGATTAATAGAATATGTATATAACATATGCAATATGCATATGTTATGTATAGTACAATAAAATATAAAATTAAAAAATTTGACGCATTACATTTATATTATGTTTAATTATGTTAAATTTAGTAAATATGATGTTTCATTATATTTTTATTTTTAAATTATTTTTTTATTGTTTAATAATTAATTTGAAAACATAAAGATAAATCTAAATGTAATCTTGTTTAAATTAATTTTATAATTTATTAAATAACTCAAGAATCATTGTAAATTTTCTGTTTAGTTTATTGTGCTTTATCTGCTCGTGTAACTGGTTCGATTATAAAAGTGTCTTCCGAAAGATTTTGGGACCGCTCCCGTCTTTATTTTGTACGAGGCGCTCAAGAGTAACTTTGTGTGCAAGGAGAAATGGGAGAATTTATTTTTGGCGAAACTAGAATTTTTTAATAATGTAATGGGTAGTTTTTCGACTATAAGGATATCTTTCGAAGGGTTTTTGGGACCGCTCCTGCCCGTATTTTGTACGAGGCATTTAGGAGTACGTTTGTGTGTTAGGAGAAATGGGAAAATTCATTTTTGGTGAAACTAAAATTTTTTTAATGATATGAAGGGTAGTTTTTCGGGTGTAAGGGTGTCTTCCGCAGGGTGTATCGTAATATTATGTTTTATATTGTATTATTTTAAGTATATTTATTGTGTTTTGTTAATTTTATGCGTTTAAAATAATCGCTCCAGGAATGTTCCAAACTTCAATCAGCTACATAGACAAAATTAAAGATTGAAAATAAAATTTTGAAATATATATAAAATATATTTGTATGTCTGCCCAAAGATACATATAAAATCAAAGCTACTAAGCCAAGTGTAAATTGTGTATTAATTTGTGCAGATTATTGATCTGATATAAATTTAATTAAGATTAGACAGAATATTCGATATATTTTGCATTAAAATAAAAAAAGTAATATTTTATCTCATATCGTGAATATTGCATATTTCAAAAAATTAAATAATTTGAAAAATTTCTCATGCAACAATATTTCTTAGCATAATTAAAAATATTTATTAATATATTTTATTCGTATTTCAGATAACCTACTGCGAAGAAAGCATGTGACCTTAAGGATAAACAATATAAAAAACGTCATGAAGGAAACATAACACACAAAATCAGAGCCATAGACTTCAAAAGAAAAGGCATATTGTATATAAAACAATTAAAAAATCATTGAATTGGTATTTCGAGGCATCTGTTCGTGCAACGTCTGGAAATAAGCGTATGGAATTTTCTTTCTACGCTGATGAGACCAGAAACTTTTTAATACAACCTCCACGGTAGAGTTTTTATATAGAGTATTTATATTATAGTATTATTATTATTTTTCACAGATTAGTGTACTTATTGATTAATTAATACATTAATACATAAATTTGTTTTAGGGGACTTAATCGCAAACAAATGGAAAAGTATTGCAATATAAATAAGTTTCACTATATAAAGCTATAATTAGTTAAAAGTTAGTTGGATAGACTTTTAGAAAGACCTGAAAAAGAACAGCTTTTGGAAAAAACTGTTACTCTCCTGGCACAATTTATTCAAGTGCAAAAAGATGTATGTTACTCAACTGTAAATGCTTCATTGGATAGAATCGTAAAAGATGTACAGAATTGTCTCAGAAAGAAGCATCCCGACCATTCCATATTTTTCACGTCTGATGAAACTTTTTCCTATTGGAAAAACAACAATATCGATAATCATTGGAATAAAGTTGAAAGTACGCAGATTATGGATATACTCCAGGAATATATATTTAGCAAATTAAACTTTCGACCATGCTTATATCGGAACAAGCTCTTCGATTGTTTGTGTATAGATTATGTAAGTATTACTACGGATTATAATATATTATAATTATATCAATTATGGTCATATACATTTATATGTATATTTGTTTTATGTTGTTTTTAATAATCTCTCAATATCATTAATTTATTCTGTATTATAATATTTTGCGTAGGTTTTAGAAAATAAACGTGGAGAAAAAATCGTTGTACTCGCAATATTTTGCAGCATAGCTAGGAGACTTGGTCTACGTTGCGATATAATAAGGTTTTCCCTAAAACACTGCATATTTTGGAAATCAAAATAGTAAGTATAAATATATTAGATTTGACATTTTAACATGTTTCGGTAATTTGTCTATTCTTATGATACACATATACATATACACATATACATATACACATATACATATACACATATACATATACACATATACATATACACATATACATATACACATATAGATATACACATATACATATATACATATACATATACACATATGCATATACACATATGCATATACACATATGCATATACACATATGCATATACACATATATATACATAAACATATACATATATACATATACACATATACATATATATATACATATATATACACAGGCTCTGTAAAGTTGGCACGGCTTTTTTCGATTTTCAAAAAAAACATATGAGTTCTAGTAGCACTTTTAAGAGTTCTAGAGTTCCTGATAGGTTTCGCAAATAGTTCTGTCAATTTGAGGTCAAAAAACGAATTTTTTAAAAATGTCGTGCTAACTTCCCGTAGCACGACACTTATGCAAAAAAAATTTTTATTCGTGTATATCGATAGATTTCGACGAGATTTAGAGTTCCTGATAGATTTTAACAATAGTTCCGGCGAACTATGCATTCTACGAGTTAAAAAACAAAATTTAAACGATATTTATAAAAATTTTATCTTGTTGTGCTAATAGAAATATTCATTTCTCACGGCGCAGTTTGCGAGCTCTAGGATAGTTCTGACCTCCAAAATAATGTTCGACAATAGTTCTGTCGATTAACCATAATTAACTTAATTAATTAATAAGCTATTATAGCACGACATCGCGGAAGAGTGTCGTGCTGGTAGAAATATCTATTTCTCTGGGCGCATTTTACGAGTTCTAGGATAGTTCTGACCTCCAAAATAATTTTCGATAATAGTTCTGTCGATTAACAGTAATTAACTTAAATAATTAATAAGATAATTATAGCACGACACTCGAGCAAAGGGTGTCGTGCTAAGTATATATCGCAGTTCTAGGGGGGGTTTTGGCCAGTTCTCGTTAAGTTCTATGCTCTGAAATTATTTTTAAAAATAGTTCTGGCGATTAAACATTTTTTAATAATTTTTAAAATTTTTTAATGTCCGATTTCAGCACGACACTCGAGCAAAGGGTGTCGTGCTGAGTATATGTCGCAGTTCTAGGAGGAGTTTTGGCTAATTCTCGTAGAGTTCTATGCTTTGCAATTATTTTCAATAATAGTTCCGGCGATTAAACATTTTTTAATAATTTTAAAATTTTTTAATGTCCGATTTCAACACGACACTCGAGCAAAGGGTGTCGTGCTGAGTATATATCGCAGTTCTAGGAAGAGTTTTGGCTAGTTCTCGTAGAGTTTTATGCTCTGCAATTATTTTTAAAAATAGTTCCGGCAATTAAACATTTTTTAATAATTTTTAAAATTTTTTAATGTCCGATTTCAGCACGACACTCGAGCAAAGGGTGTCGTGCTGAGTATTTATCGCAGCTTCTAGGGGGAGTTTTGGCTAGTTCTCGTAGAGTTCTATGCTCTGCAATTATTTTCAATAATAGTTCCGGCGAGTAAACATTTTCTAACAATTTTTAAAATTTTTTAATGTCCGATTTCAGCACGACACTCGAGCAAAGGGTGTCGTGCTGAGTATATATCGCTGTTCTAGGGGGAGTTTTGGCTAGTTCTCGTAGAGTTCTATGCTCTACAATTATTTTTAAAATAGTTCCGGCGATTAAACATTTTTTAATAATTTTTAAAATTTTTTAATGTCCGATTTCAGCACGACACTCGAGCAAAGGGTGTCGTGCTGAGTATATATCGCAGTTCTAGGGGGAGTTTTGGCTAGTTCTCGTAGAGTTCTATGCTCTGCAATTATTTTCAATAATAGTTCCGGCGAGTAAACATTTTTTAATAATTTTTAAAATTTTTTAATGTCCGATTTCAGCACGACACTCGAGCAAAGGGTGTCGTGCTGAGTATTTATCGCAGCTCTAGGGGGAGTTTTGGCTAGTTCTCGTAGAGTTCTATGCTCTGCAATTATTTTCAATAATAGTTCCGGCGATTAAACATTTTTTAATAATTTTTAAAATTTTTTAATGTCCGATTTCAGCACGACACTCGAGCAAAGGGTGTCGTGCTGAGTATTTATCGCAGCTCTAGGGGGAGTTTTGGCTAGTTCTCGTAGAGTTCTATGCTCTGCAATTATTTTCAATAATAGTTCCGGCGAGTAAACATTTTTTAATAATTTTTAAAATTTTTTAATGTCCGATTTCAGCACGACACTCGAGCAAAGGGTGTCGTGCTGAGTATATATCGCAGTTCTAGGGGGAGTTTTGGCTAGTTCTCGTAGAGTTCTATGCTCTGCAATTATTTTCAAAAATAGTTCCGGCGATTAAACATTTTTTAATAATTTTTAAAATTTTTTAATGTCCGATTTCAGCACGACACTCGAGCAAAGGGTGTCGTGCTGAGTATATATCGCAGTTCTAGGGGGAGTTTTGGCTAGTTCTCGTAGAGTTCTATGCTCTGCAATTATTTTCAATAATAGTTCCGGCGAGTAAACATTTTTTAATAATTTTTAAAATTTTTTAATGTCCGATTTCAGCACGACACTCGAGCAAAGGGTGTCGTGCTGAGTATATATCGCAGTTCTAGGGGGAGTTTTGGCTAGTTCTCGTAGAGTTCTATGCTCTGCAATTATTTTTAAAAATAGTTCCGGCGATTAAACATTTTTTAATAATTTTTAAAATTTTTTAATGTCCGATTTCAGCACGACACTCGAGCAAAGGGTGTCGTGCTGAGTATATATCGCAGTTCTAGGGGGAGTTTTGGCTAGTTCTCGTAGAGTTCTATGCTCTGCAATTATTTTCAAAAATAGTTCCGGCGAGTAAACATTTTTTAATAATTTTTAAAATTTTTTAATGTCCGATTTCAGCACGACACTCGAGCAAAGGGTGTCGTGCTGAGTATTTATCGCAGCTCTAGGGGGAGTTTTGGCTAGTTCTCGTAGAGTTCTATGCTCTGCAATTATTTTCAATAATAGTTCCGGCGAGTAAACATTTTTTAATAATTTTTAAAATTTTTTAATGTCCGATTTCAGCACGACACTCGAGCAAAGGGTGTCGTGCTGAGTATATATCGCAGTTCTAGGGGAGTTTTGGCTAGTTCTCGTAGAGTTCTATGCTCTGCAATTATTTTCAATAATAGTTCCGGCGAGTAAACATTTTTTAATAATTTTTAAAATTTTTTAATGTCCGATTTCAGCACGACACTCGAGCAAAGGGTGTCGTGCTGAGTATATATCGCTGTTCTAGGGGGAGTTTTGGCTAGTTCTCGTAGAGTTCTATGCTCTGCAATTATTTTTAAAATAGTTCCGGCGATTAAACATTTTTTAATAATTTTTAAAATTTTTTAATGTCCGATTTCAGCACGACACTCGAGCTGTCGTGCTGAGTATATATCGCAGTTCTAGGGAGTTTTGGCTAGTTCTCGTAGCTATGCTCTGCAATTATTTTTAAAAATAGTTCCGGCGATTAAACATTTTTTAATAATTTTTAAAATTTTTTAATGTCCGATTTCAGCACGACACTCGAGCGAAGGGTGTCGTGCTGAGTATATATCGCAGTTCTAGGAAGAGTTTTGGCTAGTTCTCGTAGATTTCTATGCTCTGCAATTATTTTTAAAATAGTTCCGGCGATTAAACATTTTTTAATAATTTTTAAAATTTTTTAATGTCCGATTTCAGCACGACACTCGAGCAAAGGGTGTCGTGCTGAGTATATATCGCAGTTCTAGGGGGAGTTTTGGCTAGTTCTCGTAGAGTTCTATGCTCTGCAATTATTTTTAAAAATAGTTCCGGCGATTAAACATTTTTTAATAATTTTTAAAATTTTTTAATGTCCGATTTCAGCACGACACTCGAGCAAAGGGTGTCGTGCTGAGTATATATCGCAGTTCTAGGAAGAGTTTTGGCTAGTTCTCGTAGATTTCTATGCTCTGCAATTATTTTTAAAAATAGTTCCGGCGATTAAACATTTTTAATAATTTTTAAAATTTTTTAATGTCCGATTTCAGCACGACACTCGAGCAAAGGGTGTCGTGCTGAGTATATATCGCAGTTCTAGGGGAGTTTTGGCTAGTTCTCGTAGAGATCTATGCTCTGCAATTATTTTTAAAATAGTTCCGGCGAGTAAATATTTTTTAATAATTTTTAAAATTTTTTAATGTCCATTTCAGCACGACACTCGAGCAAAGGGTGTCGTGCTGAGTATATATTGCAGTTCTAGGGGGAGTTTTGGCTAGTTCTCGTAGAGTTCTATGCTTTGCAATTATTTTTAAAATAGTTCCGGCGATTAAACATTTTTTAATAATTTTTAAAATTTTTTAATGTCCGATTTCAGCACGACACTCGAGCAAAGTATTTCTACCAGACGACACTTTTCCACGATGTTGTGCTGTTTTCGTAGTTTTAAAAGATGTTTACCCGCCGGAACTATTTTTAAAAATAATTGCAGAGCATAAACTCTACGAGAACTAGCCAAAACTCCCCCTAGAACTGCGATATATATTCAGCACGACACCCTTTGCTCGAGTGTCGTGCTGAAATCGGACATTAAAAAATTTTAAAAAAATTTTACTCGCCGGAACTATTATTGAAAATAATTGCAGAGCATAGAACTCTACGAGAACTAGCCAAAACTCCCTCTAGAACTGCGATATATACTCAGCACGACACCCTTTGCTCGAGTGTCGTGCTGAAATCGGACATTAAAAAATTTTAAAAATTATTAAAAAGTTTACTCGCCGGAACTATTATTGAAAATAATTGCAGAGCATAGAACTCTACGAGAACTAGCCAAAACTCCCTCTAGAACTGCGATATATACTCAGCACGACACCCTTTGCTCGAGTGTCGTGCTGAAATCGGACATTAAAAAATTTTAAAAATTATTAAAAAATGTTTAATCGCCGGAACTATTTTTAAAAATAATTGCAAAGCATAGAACTCTACGAGAACTGGCCAAAACCCCCCCTAGAACTGCGATATATACTTAGCACGACACTTTTTGCTCAAGTGTCGTGCTATAATTATCTTATTAATTATTCAAGTTAATTACTGTTAATCAACAGAACTATTATCGAAAATTATTTTGGAGGTCAGAACTATCCTAGAACTCGTAAAATGCGCCCAGAGAAATAGATATTTCTACCAGCACGACACTCTTCCGCGATGTCGTGCTATAATAGCTTATTAATTAATTAAGTTAA